CTACATACTACTCCATTGTGTAGATGTACCAAAGTTTCTTTAACCAGTCATCTCTTCTCAGGCACTCAGGTTTTTTCCAGATTCTAGCGATTGTAAAGAGTGCTGCAATGAACAAACAAGTGCAGATGTCACTTCGACTATACTTTTTTTGCCTCTCAGGGATATATTCCCAGGAGTAGTATTGCTGGGTCAAATGGGAGCTCAATTTCTAATTTTTTGAGAATCTTCTATACTGTTTGAGAACTGACACTCTTAAGAGACCCTGCCTCTTCCTCCTTCTCATCAGACATGGAAACAAAAAAAGGCCTTTTTTTTAACAATGGATCACATCGCCCACTGCTTTCATGTCTGAAGTATCATTTCAGTCATCTCTGTATGTGCATCAGAGCCATCAGCTTGACCGTATAAAATTCATCTCTCCCCATGAATAAATAACATACTTATGCCTCTATTTATTTATATACATAAAAAACATTTTAAGTGGTGATTAGTATGAGAAGGAAAGGAACAACTGGATAGTGATAACGATTGAACGATTTTAGAACAGACTTTGGCCATTGATTTGGAATCCTGGTGATAAAAGGGAAACAAAGATGCAAAAATCTGAGACCAACAGGGGAAGCTCTCTAGTGGGTAGGAGCAGTTGCAGCCAGAGAGAAGTTGGGTGTGTGACTGTTCCAGGAGAGAGTGGGAGAGTGGGGCTTCCCACAGCTGGCAAGGGGGTGCACTGCTTCTAATAACACTGAGAAACTTGGGCATGGTTTGAACATGGAGCAATGGGGGATGTGATCTCTGCTTTAAAATGGGGGAATTCTGTGAAAAATGAGGAAAAAGATAAAAGTAGAGATGATCGAGGAGCTTAAGTGGAGAGATGCACAAGAACCCATCTGCTTGGCCATCTGTTAATGTGCAGTTGAGAAAGCAACAGATGAAAACAATTATAAATGTACTTAAGCAATTCCATGTTTAAGTGGCTTTGGAAAAGTCGAATGGGGCCTCTTCATCAGAATTGCCTCGTCTTGTGGTCCAAGAGAGGTGTGAACTCCTGTCCAGGGTATTTGAGGACTTAATGGGAAGCAGGGGGGTGTAGACTGTTTTATTTTCACTTACACTAAGTTGAATGTAGAATTTTCAAACCTTGGATCAGCCCTAAGTGTACAAGGATAATATGTAAATAACTCCCTATGAGATGTTCAAAAACATCACTTATTGCTAAGTAAAATTATTCACTATTCTTGGATGACATGAAATCTCAGAAATACTTGTTGTTAAATGTCTCTCACATAAGGGAAGTGCTTTGTCCATATCATTAGCATGAAACTCTTGTGTAGACAGAATGGCTCTGCCATGGAGATGAACCCAGAGTAGAGGTTGCTGTGGCATAGGGCAGGGTTTATTCGAAAGGAAGCCTCTGGGTGACCACTGTGATGGCTAGGGACTCCTGTCATGGTAGCATGGTGTTCACTCCCCCATGTTTTATTCTTACAGTTGATCATCTCACAGTCATAGGTGCTGCTTCAGCTACAACAGCAGCTGTGGCTAAGCAGAAGTCTTTTGCATGCCAACATGCAAGGTCTTGCTGCTTGTACTTTAACTTTAAAATATATCAAGAAATAGGATGAATAAGTATGGTAAAGTGCAGGTGGATAAGTATGGTAAAGTGAAGGTGGTGCTATCAAAGAATTTTCAACAGTAGAGTTCTCTCAGATTTTCTGTAGATCCTTAAATCTGTTATAAAATTTGAGAGTGAAAAGCTAGGAGCTTAATAGGTCCTGATCATGCAACTCTTGGTTCAATAGAAATTGTTTTTAGATTTATAATAGAGAGAGCAGATCATTAGAATTTTGCATGGAGTTCGGCACACTTTTGTCTAATCTTACTATACTCCTCAAATAAAACCAAATTTTTTGAGTAAATTGCTTAAACACTTAACCTAAATGTATATCTTAATGATTCTTAAACTAAAAAATGTCCTTCCTTCCTTCCTTCATTCATTCCTTGTTTCCTCCCTTCCTGTCTTCCTCTTTCCCTCCCTTCCTTTCTCTCCCCTTTTGTTCTTTCTTTTTTTCTCTATTTTTGTTTGTTTGTGGCTCAAGCCTTCCTTTGCTCAGGGCTTACTTCTGGCTCTGTGCTCAGAGATCGCTCCTCACTTGACTTGACTTGGGAGACCATATTTAATGCAGGAATTGAACCTGGGTTTGCCTCATATAAAACAACTGCCTTACCCACTGTACTATCTCTCTGGCCTCTTAAGTGTTATATTTGATAAACATTTTACAGAAGTAACCATGTTAGATATCCAATGTCTGAGTAGTTCATCTGCTTATCTGAACATGCCCAGCTGAAATAATGGGCACCTAAAAAAGCCTCTGACACCTGCTGCCTGCACATCCTACTATAAAACCATCACATTCATCACTAGCTAAATTTAACCCAAAAAAAGTGAAAAAGTTTCATACTTACTCAATGTTCAGAAATCCTCAAAGAGATTAGTGGAAGTTTTACCATGTCTGTATTGCATTACAGAAAATTTAGAGAAGCAATTCAAGTTCACATAATGGACAGATACTTTTCCTGGATTCGTTCTTCAAACTCTAGCAATTTTCATTTTAGTTTTCAATCTAGTTAATTTGTGATTTTTTTCACTTTTTAAATATTTTTATTGTTTTCAATCACACTGAAATCTTTGTTGCTTTAGATCCATTGTCTGAAGTGTTTGGTATAAGGATGGAATGAAGATAAAACTGTGTTTTGTCAAGAAACTAAGGCCAAGTCATCTCATAATCAACACAGCTTTCACTTAAATGTTCCTTTCAGTTGTATGACAGATGAAGCATCTTTATAAATGTTTATTTTGATATTTTAATAGTTAACCCTGGGACAGAATTTAAATGAACTTCTCACAAACTGAATCAAATAATAGTGGGTTAACTTCTTTCATATTTTCAAGAATAGATATGCTGTATAGTTGGTGTTTTGTGATATTTTCCTATTGCTGCATGAAAATAAATGATAAATGACATTCTGCACAAAGCTTTTTCTTTCCCTAATATTTTTCAGGATAGGTTTTTCAGAACAGAGTTGTCATGATTTAGGATTTAAGCTCTTTTGTTTTACACAAGTTATCTAACTGCTTTCCAAAACACTTTGTTTATATTTAATGTTTATATTAATAATATGTAATGTTGCTATTATTTTCCAAATATAGAATCTTTTCCTTGTGTATAAAAATAAGTCATACTAATAATAAACAGTGAAGAGTTTTGTTGTTTCATGTTAAGCATTCCTCAAATAAACACTTTAAGGCTCACAGTAGAACATTTGAATACATGAATAAAAACAAACTCAAGAAAAGGTGAATTTATTTTTTTAATTTTGGGCTCACACCCATGTGCTCAGGGCTTACCCCAGTTCTGCACTCAGGAATCACTCCCAAAAGTGCTCAGGCACTGTGTGTGGAATCCAACCGAGGTCAGCCACATGCAAAGCAATTCCCCTACCTGCTCTACTCCCCCTCTGACCCCTCAAGTAAAGTTTTTTAAATATTTTTTCTGTAATTTACCAAGTTAAACTCAACTGGAACATTGTTTCTTTTTTCCCTTGACAGAATTTATTCTCTATTCATTTATTATTAATAAAAATTGGAGAGTGGGCAGCTTAGCTGAGAGAAACTAAGCTTTTATCTTTGATCACTTAAAATTAAAGCAACTGTTTTGTTTTTATCAATGAATACTGGATAAAATCTTTTAAAATTTGCTCCAATACCCAGTTTTAGTCTGTTCATCTAGTGGACATGAAGGGCGTCACCGATACCTGTGCATACCTAAGAGACAGGGTCTGTAGTAAAAGAAAGAGCCTTTGTTCCATAGAGTTCCACCCAAAAGGCACGCCTTACTGTCAAAATCCTGCACAAACATTGGTGGCATCTTTAAAGACCTTGGAATTGGGAAATCATCTGGCTGCATCTCTGTGCATTGCAGCCAACTGTGTACAACAGTTCCAATTTTGAGACTGAATAGAAGCAGCCCGTACTCCATATGTGAGCAGATAGGAGATGTCAGGTTGACCCCAGTTATCACTGGAAAAATTACAGACTCATTCTGCCCCAAAGCCAGTAAACAGAAGCTCCATCTGGGCAATGGTCAGTTCCCATGTAAGAGTCCTCTTCACCCCCAGATAGGGCCACAGAATGGAGAAGAGGGAAACCCCCATGGAGGAAAGAGTGTGAAGATTGCTTCACATTTAATGTTGGTGTAAATGCCTCGGGGTGATTATGTGGCATCTAAGCTTGTACTGAAATGCAAGGGCAGATGGTCAAATGAGGTGAAATCCCACCAAAGAGAACAAAGAAGACTATAAAATAGAAGAGCAATTTCAGAAGTTCCCAAAGAAGGTGCCCGTTTTTTTTATGTTAAGCCACTGACTGCTGATTGCACCCATACCTTTGCAGAATGGAAAGACTGGCCAGTTCTGAATTTCACCCCCAAAGCCAGAGGCCATTATTTCCTCAGTCTTAGGATAATTTTGGTTCAAAGTAGAGTTCCTTAATGAGCTTCCTGCTTCAAAAGCCCAAAATCTCTTTGTTTGGCTATGCTTGCCTAAACATGCCTTTCAAAGAGCTGGGTTTGTAAATATGACTTTATTATGATCCTTACTTTTAAGTATAGGCTACCAGGTGTATTTCCATAGTCTGTCTCCTTGTTTTAAATGCTCTCTTGTATTAATTTTGATATGTTGAATAAAACATTAGAGAGCTAAATTTGTGAAATGTGTGTACTGGCAGGCAAGGTAAAGCAGTCACATGCGCCATGTGATGCAAGCACAGACAATGCTTAAATATTTAAGACAAAACTCAAATAAAGTTAAATATTTTTGTATCGTATCACTTGTTTTTGTAACTTTTGATTAGAATTGCATCAATAGTTGATGAAAGTTAGCTGAAACTTTTTTTACTTTACTTGGCCTTTCAGATGATTTGTTTTTTTTCCCCTTTGTTCCAGTTTGCCAAGGCACAAGTAACAAGCTGACCCAGTTGGGAACTTTTGAAGACCACTTCCTGAGTCTCCAAAGGATGTTCAACAACTGTGAAGTGGTCCTTGGGAATTTGGAAATCACCTATATGCAAAGGAATTATGACCTTTCCTTCTTAAAGGTTAGTTCAATTAATTTGATTGTTCTACCCAAGTATAATAGAACTAAATAAAAGGTGATATAGGATTGTCATATTTCAATGACACAGATTTGCTTTTTCAGCTATTGTAATTCTTATGGAGCTGCAAATGGGAATTTATGAGAAGTTCACTTCACTAGTCAGTATCAACGTATAGCTATAGAAGAATATCAAAGAGAAACAGATCAAGATTCCACCATCATCCAACACTGAAATTACTTAATCTTTTACCTGTTATCAGGACTTGCTGGCTACACTGTCTCTTTTCGTTTCTGTTTTAAAAATGTTTATTTAAAGAACCACAATTTATAGTACAGTTATTTAGGTATATAATATTTATAGGTATATAATATCCATTCCCACTGCCAGTGTCAACTCCTCCTCTCCAGTGATCCCAGTCCCCCACCCCCACCCCTACCTCACCTGCCCCCTGACAGGCGCATTGCAAAGACTGGTGAGTGCAGTGTTCTTCCAGTGCCACACCATACAGTCACCCAAAGGAGAAGACCTGAATATAAAGTCCTGAGCCTGGGAAATAGCTTACATGTAGAGCACTTGCTTTACATGTGTGAAAACTTGGGTAAGAGTCCCCAGTACCACCAAGAATACAAAACAAAAACAACCCCCCCCTCTCTCTATATATATATATATATATATATATATATATATATAGTCTGGAGCAATAGCACAGCAGTAGGGCACGCCTTGCACGCGGCCAGCCTGACTGACCTGGATTTGATTCCTCCACCCCTCTCGCAGAGCCTGGCAAGCTACCAAGAGTATCTCACCTACACGGCAAAGCCTAGCAAGCTACCTGTGATGTATTCGATATGCCAAACATAGCAACAACAAGTCTCACAATGCAGACGTTATTGGGCCCACTTGAGCAAATTGACGAACAACAGGAGTACAGTGCTATTACAGTACAGTGCTATACCATATATATATATATATATATATATAGAGAGAGAGAGAGAGAGAGAGAGAACTTTTTTCCATAAATAAATATGAGGAAAATGTTCTGCTATGTGGAATTTGCCTATTTTTTGCCTATTTATTTAATTTAAATTTTATTTAAATTACCACCGTGGTTGATTTTCAGCTTGAAGAATTTGAAAACCATAATACAAACCTCCTGAATATTTTACAGTGGTCTCTGATTGGTGAGTAGGAAGGAGCCAGCTCAGAAGCTCTGGAAGTAGTCAGAATTTTGATTTCAGAGAACCTTTTTCAGACGTTTCTTTTAGTCTTCCTTCCTTCCTCTTTTCTTCAAAAAAGAAAGCACATAAGACCTATACAGAATAAACTAATAAAATATTTTACCTTAATCTTACTATTCTAAACTGTAGCACAGTCCACTGTCCTCCTGTTGTTCATCGATTTGCTTGAGTAGGCATCAGTAACATTTCCATTGTGAGACTTGTTGTTACTGTGTTTGGCATATCAAATACACCAAGGGGAGCTTGCCAGGCTCTGCTGTGTGGGCGGGATACACTTGGTAGCTTGCCAGGCTTGCTGAAAGGGACAGAGGAATCGAACCGGGGTCAGCTGCGTGCAAGGCAAATGCCCTACCCGCTGTGCTATTGCTCCAGCCCTTGGAGCTGGAGCAATAGCACTATTCTAAACACCAAGTAAAATTCAGATCATAGCATTTCTAAATAAAACACCTCATTGTGCACTGCTGCCTAACGTGCAAGAGGCAGACGTGCTAGGAGTGTTGTGAATCCTTACCCTTCAAATTTCTCCTACTCTTATCTGTGTGCTTCTCATCCACTCATGTACACAGCTTGGGAGGCGCACTGGACAGTCAGACACACTGTAGGAAATGATCAGATTCATGTTTTGTTTCTCAGACAATCCAGGAAGTGGCTGGCTATGTGCTCATTGCACTCAACACTGTGGAGAGGATCCCCTTGGAGAACCTGAAGATCATCAGGGGGAATGTGCTATATGAACAGACCCACGCCCTGTCGGTCTTGTCCAACTACTATGGAGGCAACAAGACTGGGCTGAGGGAGCTGCCTCTTCGAAACCTCCAGGGTAAGGGCAGGCAAAGCCTCGCGAGTACTTGAAACCAGGGCCTGTGTGTGGTAAAGCATCAGTTAATACCACTCAGACTTTGTTTCTTAAATGCTCACATGTCATGTGCAGCTGTGTGTAAGATGCAGCGATAGAATTATGGAATAGATGGTAGAGCAGAGGACAAGAGGGGAAGATTGGGCCAATACCAGTTCACTTAGACTCTTGGGACACTACCAGAGTTTGAAGAAACCACAGAGGTGCTGGAAAGACTGTCACTAGGCTCTGCCCAGTGTGATTATGCCTCTCCCTTTATTATCTGAGCCTTAGGAAGAAGGGGCAAGATTAACAATCCCTTATAGAAAGTCTCTGAAGGAATCCTGTAGGATGCTGAGTTAGAGATGGGAAATGTGCTTAAAGCAGGAACTCGAATTCCTGTTAGTAGCTCGTGGGGGTCTAGTGAAAGAAAAAGAAAATGATAGAAGTGGCTGGACTTTGAATTTTGAAGATAAAGAAAATTTTTGCATGTTTTTCCCTAGAACTCTTTCAGCTGAGGTGCCAAATGTACTGAGCTGATGATGTCACTGAGTGCCTACAGCCTTCCTTCCAATAGGAGTCTGCATTTTAGAGAGAAAGAGGGAGTGGAAGCAACTGTCCTCAGACCCCACAAGAGTGGAAAATGCCAACTAGTGTCACCAAGTATCTGCCCCCACACCTGCTCCTTGTGTGTTATTCTGGTTGGGTGTGGCAATGAAAAGAGCAGAAGAGAGATAGGGAAGCGCTTGCCTGAGCACAGCTGTGATGGTCGACACCCTGATTGAACCCCTAGCACCACATGTAGGTGACTGAGCGCCACCTGTGATCAGGAATACCCTGAGTTCAGTGGGATGCTCCCCCACCAAAAATCTCCCACCCCCGTTTCACTGCCAATAGCGAGAGCATGGCTCTGTGTCTCTGTTAATACTAGTTTGTGTCCCCTGGACACACTCACAAGTAACCTGCTCACAACCTGTCTCACCTCACCCTGTCACCTCACATGGTACCAGGCAGATCATAAGCATCCAGAGCCGGTCCTGGACCCATTGTTGACCAGCCCCTAGGATATTTTTCGCATATATTTTCTCATCTTCAAAACTAGGGTTGGGGCCAGTGTAGTAGAGAAGGCACTTGCCTTGCAGTGTAGTAGATAAGGCACTTGCCTTGCATGCGGCTGACCTGGGTTCAATTCTTTGCATCCCATATGGTCCCCCAAGTACCCCCAGGAAAGGACAAACCAATGTAGGATAACACCCCCAGGAGTGATTTCTGAGTGCAAAGACAGGAGTAAGTCCTGAGCATCGCCAGGTGTGACCCAGACACAAAACCAAGGAAACTGTGGGTGACAGTAGGAACACCCTCTGTAGGGATGCCACAAAAACAAATGAAAAACAAACACTGTCCTCCCGTTGTTCATCGATTTGCTTGAGCAGGCCCAGTAATGTCTCCATTTTTGAGACTTGTTGTTACTTTGTTTGGCATATAGAATACATCACGGGGAGCTTGCCAGGCTTTGCCGTGCGAGCGAGAGTTACTCTCAGTAGTTTGCCAGGCTCTCTGAGAGGAGCGAAGGAATCAAACCCGGCTCCACCGGGCTGGCTGCACACAAGGCAGTCGTCCTACCACTGTGCTATGGCTCCAGCCCGGGGATGCTACAAGATTAAGTAAATGAGATAAAGTTCTTAGGGACTGATTTTCCTATTAGCATAATTTCTAGTGCCAGTATTGGGATTGTATAAATTCAACTTGCTTGCCATTATTACATAAATATTAAATGTTGACCATTTGATATTAATTAAATAAATTAAATATTGTGATTAATAATTAACCTATTGTCTTCACAAAGGGATATCTTTAAAAGCAGGAAAGCCCTTACCTTTAAAAGTAACAGTACCATAAAAAGTAAAGATAAAAAATAAAGTAATAGTTGTCTTAATTTCTTTTGTGGGTTTAACATCAGCCCCCCCCAACACACACATATTTCTGCCACAACCCTACTTGTTTTCCTGTTGCTAATTTTGAGTGCTCTGTAAGAAAACCCCTGATTCCTCCTCATATTATATTTCTGGGCACCCAGGCCTATTGTCCACATTGTTATAACCCTGAAACCCATTTTCTCCATTCCAGTTCTGACATCTCATCAGAGTTTTAGCGGCCTGAACCTAGCTCCTTCCCAAGTAAACATTTTCCCTTGCTTTTCCTGCTGTGCTTCACAAGTTGGCCCATTCTAACCTTCTCACTTGCTCCCCATAATTCTCTGCCATTCTCTGAAGAAATTTCCCTGAGCCTTTGCACCTGTTCCTCCTCTGTCTTTGCACTTGTCTTCTGTCCTCAGGAGGCTTGAAGTGCCCTCCCCCCTGCAACAGCACTGTGAACAAATGCCATCCCTCCCACAGCCTCAGAAATCTTCCCTAAGGACTGGCCTTTCCGGGGCTGGAGTGATAGCACAGTGGGTAGGGCCTTGCATGCAGCCGACCCTGAGCACTACCAGGGGTAATTCCTGAGTAGTGCAGAGCCAAGAGTAACCCCTGTGCATCGCCGAGTGTGACCCCAAAAAAAGCAAAAAAAAAAAAAAGAACTGGCCTTCCCATTGTGCCTTTGCCGTCCATCCTCACCTGTGGGGTGCAGTTGTCATTGATGCCGCTGTGCTGACACCAGGTAGTCATTGGATCATCTCCAGCATCAACCAAGGTTAAAAGCACAAACCAGCCAATATATAGCCTGTGTTGTTCTATGCGACGGTCTGCCAGTGATGCGTTAATTCACTGTGAGAATCAAAAGAGATGATTTTTTTTTTCTTGCAGCCTCTCACTATCCATTATAGTATTTTGTACCTCTAAGTCACTGGGTCAAGGTTATGTGTAAAGTGACTACTGTGGCACTCTCTGTTTAGGTTGACATTTTTGTATCACCTGTACTACATACCCAGCCTCCTGGAACCATCGACTTAGCATATCCCATGTGTCACACTTCCTACTGTGCCCCAACTGAGCCTTGTGTCCTTCCTCCCTGCATTTTTGCGTTTGCTCATTCTCCAAAGATTCAGTTCACAGGAAGTTCTAATTCCTTTGTAGCACTGTCATTGGTTTCATTTTCACCTGCCACCACTAAAAATCTAAGGGACTTTATCATTTTTCAGAGCATAGAATGTAAATAAATATACACATGTGTCAAGAGAGTGCTGAGAGGCCAAGGCTCACTCACTCTGCTTCTTTTCTTGTCTAGAAATTCTGCAGGGCACTGTGAGATTCAGCAACAACCCTGCCTTGTGCAACGTGCATTCTATCCAGTGGCGGGACATTGTTGATGACAACTTCCTGAGCAACATGTCATTGGACTTTCAGAACCAGCTGGGTAATTGTAAGTACTCTTCAGTGTCCCTCTCACCCAATGCCTGTGTGGGCCATGCTACCAGGATGAGGTGGGTGAAATCAGAGAAGGAAGGGAAATTGTAAAACAATATTCATCCAAACAAAAATGAGTAGTATACAACATATCTGACCCCAAAAGTAAATTGTGTGTGTATGTGTGTGTGTGTGTGTGTGTGTGTGTGGTGGTGGTGGTGGTGGTGGTGGTGATGGTGGTGGTGGTTCTCACCTTGAGACAAGATAGTTGAGTTCCACTGTGGCCATCGAGAAACACTCTCAGTCATGGCTCAGGCTTCTCCATCCTACCTGCGCAGACTAGACAAATTTAATGTGCTTCCGGCTTACTCTTGAACTTTAGGGGGCACCCGGCTTCCAGCACCCTCACTAGACCAGACTGCCCCTCCTGTGATGAGCTGGATCCCCATACAGAGGAAACCTTGGCAAAACTGGGCATGGTTTGTCCAGTTTCCTCCAGTGCCGTGACCTGTCTCCAAAACGACATGGGAAAGCAGTCTCATGAGGGAAAGCTGCAGGGCCCCTGCAGCTCTGTCTGGGAAGACTCAGAGACACCTGTTTTTAATGAGCAAGTTCCACTCAGCTGTCCCTTCCTGAGCTCCCTGGTTCTTAGGTCCCTGAAAGTAAGAAGCCATTGCCATCTTCAGCTCCTCTCCGTACGCAGCTCAGTGTCATAAATAGATTCACTTTGTTGTGCAACTATTGCCGGAAGTTTTCGTCATCCCAACCTGAAATTCTTTCTTACTCATTAAACAGTCACTTCCTGCTCTCCTGCGCAGCCCCTGGCAACCACTGTCTGCTTTCTGCCTCTGTGAATTTGACTTCTCTAGGGGCCTCATGAGTACTCATACAACGATTATCCTCTGGGACTGACTTTTTTCTCACATATGTGCATAATATATACAGGACAAATGGGAACAAGCCCCAATACATTAAACGCCCATAAGGAACTGATATTTCAAGCAAATAAAGAAAAATTAGGATTCAACAGTTGTTCTGGAATAACTTAACTGCTTCATCGTAAATATCAAGGTGACAAAAGTTAAAGGATTTTTTTAAGGAATTAACTATAGGGGCAGAGAGATAGTACAGAGAATAGGGTGCTTCCCTTGCCCACAGCTGACGTGGGTTCAATTACAGCACTTCATTTAGCCCCAAGCACCACCAGGAGTGACAGTGCAGAGCCAGGAGTAACCTTGAGCACAGCTGTGTGTGGTATGAAGGAAAAAAAATCAATGGAATTAGCTGGTTATGTTGGAAATCATAAAATCACCCTGCCCTTCCACCTATAGTTTTTTTTTTCAATAGTAGTTCCCTCACACTGCCACTTGGTAAAAGGTAAAAGGTAAAGGCCCTCCCGTTGATCGTCGATTTGCTCGAGCGGGCCCAGTAACGTCTCCATTGGAGACTTTGTTGTTACTGTGTCTGGCATATCGAATACTCTCGGTAGCTTGCCGGGCTCTCCGAGAGGGGCGGAGGAATCGAACTTGGGTCGGCCATGTTGGCCGCTTGTAAGGCGAACGCCCTACCCACTGTGCTATCGCTCCAGCCCCTGCCACTTGGCACATACCTTTTTTCTTCTAAAAGAGAAATCACCCCCTCAAAGGGTTTTTCAGATCAGTCAAGTCTTCTGGAACTTGTCTCATTTAACTTATCACCTAAATATAAAAAAGCAGGCTTAAGAGTAGTAGTGTATCATTTCTTAAGCAGGGGTCATGTGGGTCCTCGCTATGGCCCCAGGATTTTCCAGTGGGTTGACAGGCAGAAATCATGCAATGGAGGGGCTGCAGTGTGGGACTGGTGAGCCAGAGGATGAGACACAGAGGGCTGGGGGCAGGAGAGCCAAGGAAGAAGGCAAGGTCAGAGGCAGCAGCTAGAAAAAGGTAAGAAACACTGTTTTAACAGGCACTTTAAATACAGGATGCAGAAAAATTACTAGTGCATCCCAATGTTATATTATTGTTGCTGTCATTGAAATTAAAGGCTAGAATTGGATGTTTATTTGTTTTATTTTTCCCACTTTATTTAAACACTGTGTTTTACAAAGTTGTTTATGAAGATTTGTTACAGGCGTCCAATATTCCAACCCCAACCCCACCATCTTTGTCATCTTCCCTCCTCCATTGATCTCCATCTTTTCAGTCACCTCAATCCTGCCCCTTAGCAGGTTCACAGTATTTATTTTATATAGCTTGTTATCACTAAGTGGCTAACAGAATGATTAAAATATATTTCCTTAGAAGAAAATTTGTGAAAATTGTTGTATCTCCTCATGGGGACATAATTCCTGATGGTTTACTAAGCTGTTGTTGCAAGCTAAGCTTTCTGAGGTAATGTTTTTGCTAGTCAAGATTGGTTGGCTTCTCCATTATATCCCATCTAATCAGGTGTGCTATTACTGAGATGTCAGTGTTGTAGAGTTTGGAGATGTCACTCCAGAAAACCCAGAATATTTAACTGAGCAGTTCAGCCAGGGTGATGGCAGTGACTTTGGGGTAAGAATGTAGCTGCCAGGGCTTCTGTAAGTATGGGAAGTGGGGGTAGGTTGTCCCCTGACTCCAAGAAGGCCTGGAGTTTTCAGCGAAAAAACCCCTATGCACATGAAGTTTTCAACAGATTAGGTTCTCTGTGGTACTCAGTTGGATTTCACTTAAAAGGAAATTAAAATAAATCTATTACCCAGTTCATACATACTGTGAATTCCAAACACATATGTCTAAAAAAAAATTGTTGAGTATAAGTGTAAGTGCTAGAAGATGCAAAGATAAATATTTATAGTATCAAAATTAAAAAGTCATGATTAGGAAGCACAAAATATGAAAATAATCAATAACCAATGAGAAAATATTGTATAATATCTGATTGCCTTGTAAAGGGTTAATATCCTTTCAAATATAACAAAAATAAGGTTCAGAGTGATAGTATAGTAAGTAGGGTTTTGCCTTGTACATGGCCAGCCTAGGGTTTTGTTTTGTTTTGTTTTTGTTTTTGTTTTTGTTTTGCTTTTTGTGTCACACCCTGCCACGCACAGGAGTTGCTCCTGGCTCTGCACTCAGGAATTACTCCTGGTGGTGCTTGGGAGACCATATGGGATGCTGGGAATCAAAACCGGGTCGGCCACGTGCAAGGCAAATACCCCACCCGCTGTGCTATTGCTCCAGACTCTCGGCCAGCCTAGGTTTGATCCCCATCATCCTATATGATTCCCAAGCACTCCCCAGGAGTAATTCCTGAATTCAACGCCAGGAATAACCTTTTAGCATCACCAGATGGAACCCCAAAGCAAAATAAAATGAAAAATGTCTTTAACTCTCTAAGAAAAGGTGACCCTTCCAATTGAAAAAAAAAGGGGGGGGGGCAAAGTACTTAGGTTCCACCATCTCCCTCACACCCTAAGCGATGACTGAAAAAAAGGTAAAATGTTATTTCATACTGTAGTAAAGGGCAAAAATAAAGTAACATCATTTTGCTTTTTCCAGAGAGATGAGTTCCTACCACAGAGGCTATAGGCGTATGGGAGTGGGGGGATAGGGACGAGGAAAGGGGATAAAAAAATTGGAAAATATGAGGAAATATAGGATTAAAAAAATTAAAATAACACGATATTACTATACAGACAAAGCCATTTTTAACATTTCTATACTTTACTGCTTCTTCTTTATTTCCTGTTTCCTTTCTACTCACTTCTTTCCTTGGGATAATTGTAAACTTTATCAGGCTTATTTCTTAGTGTTCTGGTTCAACTATCATTTGAACCAGAAATCGTTATCTCTTTCATTTGGTATCTATGTTTTCGCAGAGATTTAAGTTATTTCTAACTGGGGGAGTCTTTGCGGGCCTAACAACTCTTTTTTGTTTATTGTATGTTTGCAATGTCTTTTAAACAAATCTGATAGTTACCCTTTTTTCTGTCGACAAATACGTCACTTTGGTTTTCAGATTTCTCAATGCTGATAAGCACACAACTCACCAGCATAAAAGCCTCTGTGGCTATAAGTTACAGAGGACTATTTCTAAAACCTTCAAAACTTGATTGCCAGGGTGCAGTTATTTCCAGCAGTGTCTTAGAAATTATATGCTGAGGTTTCAGATAGTTGGCAGTGTGGTACATCTGGGAACCAGACACCTCGCAAAGGGAAGGCACCAGGAACACTTCAGCCCTGGAGCTGCACTGGGACCTGCTTTCTGGCTTGCAGTCTGGAGTTTTTATGTACCAAGACTGTCAAACCACCCCCTCCAGAGGGGCTGACCCACTCAACTCCTGACGACTGCCTAGGAGAAGGAAGTGGTGGCCCCAGTGCCACTGACATGGCAGTGAAGAAGCTAGAACTTCTTCAAGCCTAAGCAAACTTGAAATCTATACCCTTGAGAGTACGTTAAAACCTTGGATTTTTTTCTTTCTTTTTCTCTTTCTTTCTTTCTTTCTCCATTTTCTTTTCTTTTCTTTTTTGCGGGGGGTGGGGTTGGTCAGGTCAGTAATTTCTCTTTGTTTTAATTTCCGCGGTTGGGATGTAAATAAAAGCAGTACATAGTTTAATCACTTTTTCTTTTCAATTGTGTGACAAAGCAAATCTTAGAACAATTTTTACAGCGATGCTCAGTCACACCATTGCTCAGACTGTGAAAAGGCAGCATCAGCTTCCTGACACTTGTTCTCTTTCTCTGTGATGTGACTTGAAATACTACTTTTGATTTTCAGGCCAGAAGTGTGATCCTAGTTGTTCCAATGGAAGCTGCTGGGGTCCTGGGAAGGAGAACTGTCAGAAACGTAAGTCAACAAGCAGAACCCAAGCCTGCCCCGCACTTTCACTTGCACTGGGCTGATTGTTCGTTTTTCCTCTGAAGACCTCAAAGAGCATTAAAGTCAGAGGTTAGCAGTCATGTGAGTGACAGACTGGTTCGTTGGCATAGGCTGTTTGGGGCACTGTTTTAGTGAAAGCCTATTTGGGACAGCTGGCCCCTGGGTCCCGGTCACTCTCTGAACCATGCTTCAACGGGAGACTGTCCAAGTCTCCTTGTTCCTGGCACATCCTCTTTCATCCTCCTCTCTCCTGTTCATTGAGTACCCGCCTCCAAAAAAAACTAATCAATGTTTCATCAAGAGGATTTCCCTGCAGACATCCTCCTGTAGAAGATATATACCAGAGCATCTGGGGACAGATGGCTCTTCATGTTATAAAGTAGATTGACATATTCTACTTCCCAGCAGCTCCTTGCTATGAGGACCAAACCCACAGTTCTAGTACATGTCTCATTATTTAGCAGGTCTAGAAATCTGGACTCAAGCTGATTCCTTCTCCTAAGTGATTAAAGTAAAGAGGGAATAAAGAGGTATACGAGAAGAAAGGTGGTGATCCCATTGTCATACTGTGCGTGTTTGGGGTGTCAGTGAGCCCGAGAGGCACAGAATCATCCTTTAGGTCCATTCTGTGTCCACAGGGGCAGGTGCTGGAGGCTGCAGGGAAGCCGCCTCTTCCCCAGCCCCTGCTCACCACTGTCCCCGTTCCTTTCCAGTGACCAAGGTCATCTGTGCCCAGCAGTGTTCCGGGCGCTGCCGCGGCCGGTCCCCCAGCGACTGCTGCCACAACCAGTGTGCCGCCGGCTGCACGGGGCCCCGTGAAAGCGACTGCCTGGTGAGAGGGCCCAGCCTGATGAACTACTATGGGGTGGAGGCTGTGGGAGAGGGGGCGGAACGCGCCAGCAGCATCTGGGAGATCGATGCGAGTGTGATCCCTGCTGGCCTCAGAACCTTGCCTTGCCTCTCTGCCTTGGTCTCACTGACAGCAGCGGATGACAAGCTCTGGCATGGTCTGTCCATGTCCCTCCACTCCTCCTGCATGGCTCCCCCATCCCATCAGTTGTCCCCGTTTGCATGATTTTCACCTGTGCCTCCCTGGAAATATCCTGAGGGCCCAGTGGGGCCATTCGTGACATATACCCCAGGCCCTGGAATGGTGTGAGAGCTTACTACATGCACCCAATTTGTGTGCCTTTTCACAGGTCATTATTGTGGCTGACAGAGGCTTCACAGTGTTCTTCAGTGTTTCACCCTGAATCCAGGGTGAAACACTGAAGAACACTGTAAAGCCTTACAGTTAAGACTGTACGGGCCCCAAGTGCTTCTACAGACGGGAAAAGGTTGCCCACATGTGCAGAGTTGGGCACAGCTGAGCGCCCCCTGTTTCTGTTTCTGCACCCCAACACTCACAGCGTCCCATTATTCTAGCCGCTGCTCATCTAAACCTCATTGTGGTAGTATCTTTGATTCTACTTGGGGGTGGTGCCTCAGGCATGAGCCCCTGGGAGCCCCTGAGAGACCCAAATTGGGCATGCTGAGTTCTGGAGTCAGGGCCTTGCAGCACACAGGTTGCCAGGCAAACAGTCCCATGAGGTAGACTCGAAAAGACTCTGGTTTCCAGAAGAAAAAGGATTTAGGGTCCAAGACCTGGAGACCCCCAAGGGATCTCGTGCAGCCTGAAGCCTTCGATCTAGGGCACATCCTTAGCTGCTTGGATCCTTCTGGGGTGATGCATTCCTCACCAACTTTCTTGGTGGCTTGAAAATAAATTCCAAAATGTGTCCTCAAGTGTTCTTTACCAGGGAAAGCCCGTAGAAATTGAGTTTGGTAACAGGTTTCCTTCACAGATGCTACCCTGATGTGTGAATACCTTCATCATTTTGTGATTTAATAAAGAGATGTATTACCCCTCAGCCTATGCTGGAAATAACCATGACTGGGACAGTGTATGTCAGAAGCTGTTGCTTCTAAGCGAGCGGTCTCCCCCACACCTTCAAAAGTTCTTGACTAGATTTTCCTGCTCCTGGAGAGCACCCGGGACAGCAGTTGTCGTGAAGTGTCAGAGCAGCGTCAGCGCAATGCTGTCTGTGCTCAGCTGAATCTTCCTGTGTCCCTGTGTCAGGCCTGCCGCAGGTTCCGGGATGAAGCCACATGCAAGGACACCTGCCCACAGCTCATGCTCTACAACCCCACCACATACCAGATGGATGTCAACCCAGAGGGGAAGTACAGCTTTGGTGCCACCTGTGTGAAGAAATGCCCCCGTGAGTCCCCCTTGGGAAGCCCCTTCCTCTGTCAGGCTTCCATTTCTGGTTTTGCCCCCCACCCCTACTGGATGCTGTGATCCCTCTTGCCTTGGGTCCCCTCTGGTTCACCTCCTCACAGCCTCCTCATCGAGCACTAGAAGAGGGCAATGTGCCCATTAGTTTTGTATGTGCCCACAGTGACTGCCGCCATGCCCGGGACAGGCTGCAGCTGCAGCTGTCTGAAGGGTCTTATAGGGCAAAGACCCCAGTTTCTGGGCCCTCTTACTGTTTAGCTCTTATACCATGGGAACATGTAGGTGTGATTAGCATGTGCTGAAGGACTGAGCTTTGTCAGTAGTTAACATTGTGGCAAAGTGACCCTTTGGGAACACTGTGGGTGTTGGGGGCCACAGGAGGTAAGGAGTTGTTTGGTTCTGTTTTAATCATTTGGCCTTGGGTTTTGCTTATTGTGTTTTCATTCTGTTGGAGGCTCTGGCATTTAGGAATATGATGACATGGCTTATTTTCTCATCTGGTTTTTAATTATTATTATTTTTATTAAATTACCATGAGATAGAGTTACAAAATTTCATGTTTGAGTTTCAGTCATACAATGATTGGCCACCCATCCCTCCACCAGTGCACATTCCCCATCACCAATCTCCCCAGTATACCCCCCTTTCCAGCCCTCTTCCTGCCTCTCTGGTAGACAATTTCCCCCATACTCTCTCTCTACTTTGGGGCATTATGGTTTGCAATACAGATGCTGAGAGGTTATCACATTTGGTCCTTTGCCTACTTTCAGCACACATCTCCCATCCCAAATGATTCTTCCATCATTGACTTAGTGATCCCATCTCTATTCCAGCTGTCTTCTCCCCTCACTCATGAGGCAGGCTTCCAACTATGGGGCAATATTCCTGGCCCTTGTCTCTACTGTCCTTGGGGATCAGTCTCACATTATGTTATTTTATATTCCACAAATGAGTGCAGTCATTCCATGTCTGTCCCTCTTTTTCTGACTCATTTCATTTAGCATGATCCTCTCCATGTCTATCTACTTATAAGCAAATTTTATGACTTCATCTGACTGGTGGAAGAATTGTCTGATTTAAGAGCTTTAGGAATAAACCTTGATATGTAGGAGGAGGGTTTAACTTAAACAAATCAAAAACATCATGGGGGAGGGGGAGTTTTCCCTACCAGACCTATGATATGAGCATTTCTATATTCTATACAGGAAAGAAAACAATAATAATAACATAATAAGTCATCTAATAATTAGATAGTAAATGATAATATGAAGAAAAATTTGCCACAATTATGACACAAATGGGCTGGAGCGGTAGCACAGCAGGTAGAACGTTTGCCTTGCAAGTGGCCAACATGGCCGATCCAAGTTCGATTCCTCTGCCCTCTCGGAGAGCCTGGCAAGCTACCAAGAATATCTCATCTGCACAGCAAAGCCTGGCAAGCTACCTGTGATGTATTCAATATGCCAAATACAGTAACAATTGTCACAATGAAGAAGTTACTGGGCCCGCTCAAGCAAATTGATGAACAACGGGAGGACAATGACAGTGACAGTGATGACACAGCAAATATAATCTTTAAGAGAGAATTTTATAAATAGAGCTAAGGAATCTATAGAAAGCTCTCAGCATCTTAAAACAGAAAAGCAGAAGAGTCACGGAAGAAAAATGACACATGTCCAGTACATATCTTTGATATTTCACTTGGAGAGGTCAAAGAGGGATACATGGAGCTGCCATAAAATATGCTCTCTGCATTAAAATCAGGTAAACTAGGCCATTCTTGAGAGAGACTGAGATGTGACCTGGGCATCAGAATGGATGCTGAACCATTTGGTTTTCGCCACCAGCAAAGTGGAGAGGGAGATGCTGACCAAGAGGATGGAGGCAAGACGGCGGCTGCAGGCACTGAACAGCACCTTTAGAAGAGCGCTCTGTGTCTCGCTTGGGTTTAGGTTCGGGTCCCTTCCAGGGGTGCCTGGGGGAGTGGGCAGTGCTGGGGATCGCACCCGGGTAGCCCAGTAGATTCACATGCTTATGATAAACATTTAAGCTTTAGTCCTAAGTTCTGAAGCTGGAACCTAGGAAGAAAGGACTTCCCAGGAGTTGTTCAACTAAGCGCAGAAACAATGGTGTTTTCTCCTTTTGCATCTGTACCCTGCCCCTGGTGATATGCCCTTATTTCTCCAATTGAGGATCTGGAAAGCTGTCGGAACCCTTGAGCTCAACTCCTTCTCTGTTTTCGACATATCTGCCTTTTGTCCGTGAGATGAATAAAAACCAGAGGATGTGGCCCTTTTCATCAGCCCTTTGTAGGATGACGCAGGGTGTCCACAGGCAACTCAGAACACCTGGGGTCTCTTTCACCACCTTCTTTGTCTCATCCCCAGGGAACTACGTGGTGACGGACCACGGCTCCTGTGTCCGAGCCTGCAGCTCTGACAACTATGAGGTGGAGGAAGATGGCATCCGCAAGTGTAAGAAGTGTGAGGGACCTTGTCGCAAAGGTAGGACACCTCCTGTGAGGAGAACCAGACCCTGCCCAGTCAGAGCTGGTGCCCTTTGTCTCACCGCCCCCGCTCCCATCCTCATCACGCACCACACAATGACAAATGAGGTCTGAGTAAATCTCTCAGGCACAGAAATTTGATTTTTCCTTCATACTGTGTCTTGTTCTTTTTCTTTTTTTTTTTTCATTTTTGGGTCATACCCAGTGATGCACAGGGGTTACTCCTGGCTCTGCACTCAGGAATTACTCCTGGCGGTGCTCGGGAGACCATATGGGATGCTGGGAATCGAACTCGGGATTCGCGTGCAAAGCAAAAGTCCTACCCACTGTGCTATCACTCAAGCCCCTGTGTCTTGTTCTTCAAGGGCAGCTTATTCCTACTTACTCTTTACCTTAGCTTTCAGTTGGAAGATTCCAGATGTCAGAAATGTTGCTAGTACAGTGCTGTAACACCCAGGTAGCTGCCACCTTAATTCTCCAGGTGTTCTTTTTTTTTTTCTTGCTCTTTTGGGTCACACCTGGCGATGCACAGGGATTGCTCCTGGTTCTGCACTCAGGAAGTACTCCTGGTGGTGCTTGGGGGACCATATGGGATGCTGGGGATCAAACCTAGTTTGCCCTCATGCAAAGCAAATGCCCTCCCCGCTGTGTTATTGCTCCAGCCCCTCCAGGTTTACACTGTGCATCAACATAGCAGTTTTCTACAACTCAGTTCAATTCAAACTTGCCCAGCTATCTTTGTATTTTACTGTGAACTTCTTTTTCATCCCAGATCCTCCTCGGTTGGTAATTTCATTAGCTTTCCCTTCATCCTATGGTTTCCCTGTCCCTGTTGTCCTCACGAATCAAAGCTTTTCTCTCAGCCTCTCCCCACTGTGTTTTTTCCTCATGGTTCTATAAACCAATTATTTCCCGTTTCCTCTACCTTTATTGTAAATGAAAATTAGTATTAATTTTAAAGTATAAGTAACATAATCTAAAAAGAAATTGGTATACTGTGAAGTCATTTTATTCTATTCTGTTTATTGTCACCTATACCTGTCATTGTTCTGGTGAGCGAATCACCCTGTAACTTAGCTCCTGTGTCCTTTAGCATGCCTTGTGCCACCAACTCTATCTTCTACTCAGAAGGTGCTACCACACTGCACCTCTGTAAGCCCAGAATTCTAGAAACCACTGCAGACAGTTCATGTGGATCTTCCTCATTCTGCTTTTGCAGTGACAGCCCTCCCCATGCAGCTGCCCGGATTTATTCTAGCACCTCTGGACAGTCTTTCTTTGTTCCCACTAATCTGCTCCTAGAAGCAACATCTCCATGCATAGCTGCTGAACTTAAGTTTCCACTTCAAATTTCACCTTCCTTATGAAGTCTTCTGATTTCAAGGAAACCACTATCCCTTTGTGTCTGTAGATAGTCTCTGTGCCTCTCACGGGAATAGCCAAGTCCACATTATTGAGTCCTTCAAACCCTTCTAAAAGAGGCTTGTACTGTTATGAACCCCATTTTATAGAGGAATAAATTGAGTTACAGAAAATCTGAAGGCCTTACCCAGACGTACTGATCAGAGGAAAAGAGCCAAGAAAAGTCAGTGTTGGTGGGTGTATGGTCTCTTGGACTTTTGACCAGTTCAGGAAGGTGTGCTGGATCCTGAGAGACAAGTGACCTTGGCTTCCTGACAGAGGAGACATAGGAAGAAGATAGGAAAGGGGAGGGGTAAGCATACCTGGCATCAAGAGAGGAAAAAATAGCTGAGCACTAAGGGATAAGGTTACATCTGCAACTGATGAAAGGATTCATAAGCTCAGAGGTAATTGTATTTTCTTGATTTTGTGTTCAACAGCTGTTTTCATTCTCCTATAAGATTACACACTATTTTTCTACCCTTCCCCAATTTATATCTTTACATTCTGAGCTACAAATGAATTTGAGTTCTTTGAAGTAGGTAATAGGCCATTGCACATGAAGAAAATACCAGAAAAGCAAAGGCTTGATAAATGTCTAATTTAAAGTGCATTCAGGGTGTATAATTATTAGTTTTTATCTCTGAATTAACACTTATAGTAGCAACTATGCCACACCCCATTAAAACAAGAATGAGAGAGAAAATGAATGTCCTCTCACATGCAGAATCTTCCAGACCAGGCTCTGGCAGCATCTGCCCAGACCTTTCTTGCTGAAGTTCTCTAAGGAACATCAGTTCACCCAACCACTGAAGTTTTGGTGAAGTTTTACTCCAACCACTGTGAGTTCAACATGACTTACAGGGCATGGAGATGCATCTGGTGGGTAGCTCATATACAGATTTGAGGTTTCTGTACCATCAACATAAGGATCACCTGAGCAGAATGGTACCCAGGGAGGCCAGCAGGTTAACCAGGCTAGACTGATTGGACTCTCCTGGAGTTCTGAGAAAGGAGCTCAAAGGAGCTTTTCAGTGAGTATACATTAAAGATAAAGTCTGAAGATGAGTACCAGGAATTGCACCATGGATCCAGAAGATATCTAGAAGAAATAAATCAGAGCTAGGGTGGAAATGCATTCGAGATGGAAATTCATGAAGAATTTCAACTTCCAAATTGATCTGAGTGAAAATGGGCATTTAAGATTGCTGTAACAATAAGATACAGAGTGAAGAAGTTTGCTCAAGAAAACAGTAAAAGTAAAGCATTTGAGTTGTGTGGTTATAGTTGCTATTGTATTCCTGGTGATGTACTATCAGACAGCTAAACTATATTTTAGCTTCGTTAAAATATTTTTACGAAGACTTATAATGCCATGAGAAATGTTCATAGCATAATAAGTTAGGACAAAGTACCAACAACATATCTGATATGACATAACCATGGAGGACAGGCAGAAGAAATTTTTCTAAAATATTAAACATGTACAGTGGAATTTCTGTTCATTTGTTTCTTTTTTATGCATTTACATCATCTTCTTGCACATCTTGTTCTTTCACTAAAGGAAAGACGTGCATAACTTCTTTAAGATACGTGGCAAGGCTGCCAAGAAGATTAAGGTAGTGGGGGCTAATGAAGGCATCCTGGTGAGAGCAACCGGAGAGGAAGCAGGAGAGGCTCAAAGGTCCTAGACTGCAGTACAGAGCAAAGGCAAAAAGAAGCATGTCCAGTGGGGGCAGCACCATCAAGGGCTCCGCATTCTCTTACCAGTGTGACCCCAAACCCCACAACCCAGTGCCAGTACCTGTGGGTAAACTATGTTCGTTGAATGATGATTTGACAGGCTTGATCTCTTGGCTCCAATTCCTTCCTGTATTACTGTACCTTAGCAACTCTATGCTTTTTTGGGAGGAGGCAGAAATGAGATGTTGGGGTACCCCTGGAGATCCTTAGAAATTATTCTTGACTCTGTGCTCAGGAATAACCCTCAGTGGTATTCGGAGGACCATAAGTGATGCCAAAGATTGAATCAGAGTAGACCCTAATTATTCTTAACCCAGCATATATGAGTGCAATAAATATATCCCTTGTTTTTACAGTTTGTAATGGAATAGGGATTGGAGAATTTAAAGGCACACTTTCCATAAATGCCACAAACATTAAACACTTCAAAAACTGCACCACAATCAGTGGGGATCTTCACATTCTGCCAGTAGCATTCAAAGGGTAAGTACCCAATTAATGACCCAATAAATGTTCTTGTGTAGAGAAACAGGATATGCTTTGTCCCCTGGTAGAAACTATTAACTGATGACTCTTGTTATTTCAGTGACAGCTTCACACACACTCCTCCTCTGGATCCAGAGGAACTGAACATCCTAAGGACTGTAAAGGAAATTACAGGTGTGTGCATATCACAAGGATTGAGTGGGAAGCCAGAGTTCACAGAGAGAACAGTTAGGAAGGCATGTTAGGGATGGACACTTTTATCAGACTTGAGTTGTTTAGGACTTCATGTAAATATGCTTATTCCTGGGGCCCCATCAAAGATCCATGTTCTGAGATCCACTGTGTTCTTGGACATAGGGATGTGATTTTTTTAGGGTGTTGATTAAATAAGGAAACTAAGAAAATTGCTTGAATGTAACTGGTTTGTACCTGTCCTGTTCAGGAGTCTGTGAGGTGGGGACCCAACATCCTGGCAGTAGTTTATTGGGTGAACATTGAGCTCCAAGTGGACACAGGAGATGCAGTAAGAAATGTGGACCCATGGAAAGCTGGATGCTTGGCCAGATGTGCCACATTTGTATATACATCTAGTAGAGATGATCAAAAGAATTGTTGCAAGTGCTCACATTTCCTGATTATATGGTCATTTGAGGGCTCTCTAAGTTAGACTGTATATGGAAGAAATCTACAAGCAACATGTGTCTTAAGTTTCCATTCTGTCTTACAGGGTTTCTGCTTATTCAGGCCTGGCCAGAAAACAGGACAGACCTCCACATTTTTGAGAACCTGGAAATCATACGCGGTCGAACTAAGCAACAGTAAGCTGGCTTCCACTGGAGTCTAGCAGATTCTTTTCCATGTTTTAAAGTTTACAATAAACCCACAGAAGAGTGTAACAATAGGTTCACAGAAGTTGCAAAAATATTCCAGAATTCTCCTCCAGCCTTTCCCTGTTTCTCTAAATTTAAAGTCTGGCAATATCTAGATATTATTATCAGAATAAAGAAATTAATGTGTGCAGTACTATGAACCAACCTACAGAGTTTGTTGAGAGTTCACCAGTTTTCCCAAATGCCTTTATTCTGTTTCAGTATACCCCACACTGCATTTCGCTTATCCCTTGTACTGTTACAAATCCTTATTTTTCTATATCTTTTATGAAAATGAGGCTTTTGAAAGATTCTAGCTAGACATTTTTCAGAATGGCTGATGTTTTTCACCATTAAATCTATATTATGCACTTTAGGTGAAAGCAGTACCAAGATAATGCCATTACCATCACATCTTATCAGAGGTACCTAAGAGACTATCAATAATTCTTTTTTTCGGGATTTCTACTCCAGCAGTGAAGTATACACACCCACAAGCATCACTACTCATGGAGTGTTATAAGTCTAGTGAGAAGGAATCTCTCATTCAATTAGGGATCTCTCATTCAATTTTTCCTTGGAAAAAGAACTATTTCTCATAACTGAACCCTAAAAGACTTTGCAATATAAATCATGTGACATTGAAGAAAATCAGAGCACAGTACACATTAAGTTACACCGTTTTACAAATGTCTCTAGGCCATTTGTTTCTAGTACTGGACATCAGCTTTTATTGCTTCCCAGACAGATGCTTTTGCTTTTAGTTCTCAAGATGCTTCTGCTCAAGATCCATTAGAGATGAAAGCTTTAGATAGTTTTCTTGGGTGCCAGGTATCTGTTACTTCAAAAATTTCAATACCTATCTTTGCCCATGACTTAACAATAACCAAAAGGTAGTTTGTAGTAAATCTAAAGTGGTCCAGTAAAACTGTTTTTGTGATCATATGTTTTATATATGTTTACAATGTTATTTTTCTTCTCTCTGATACAGTGGTCGTTTTTCTCTTGCTGTTGTCGGCCTGAATATAACGTCCTTGGGATTACGCTCCCTCAAGGAGATAAGTGATGGAGATGTGGTAATTTCAGAAAACCGAAAGTTATGCTACGCATCCACAGTAAACTGGAAAAAGTTATTTGGGACCTCAAGTCAGAAATCAAAAGTTTCAAACAATAGAGATTTAAATGACTGTAGTAAGTAATCCCTCTGGTTTAATGACAGAATGTCTCAATGGGTTGTACTTGGATTTTAGAATATTGAAGAGCCATTCCAAAATGACTCTCTCCTGATGAAGCAAATTAGGAGACATCTGTGCATTCCTAATTGTGGTGTTGTGATTTACAGATTATTTACAGATTTATTTATTTACAGATCATTTATTATTTACATATTGTTCTCATTTCATAGGACGAATTTGCCTTGAAATTTAAGCTAGTAACTGTAATCCATAGAACTAGATTTAGTTCTGAATATTTCACATATCAGAGATAGGTTCCTTCCTCCTCACTTCAGCCTCTATTAGCTCTTACTGCTTGAACACAGACACACACGCATGCACTCATATACACGCACAAGTGCATGGATGCACAAATGTTGCAATAACACAGTGGGCTTTTGAAATCAGACACAGACAGTTGCTTTATGGAAGACTGACCACCTACAGAAACAGATCTGAGTTCAAATCAAGATCTAGTTCTTCTTGGAATTCATATTGTAGTCTGTTTAGTTAAAAACTTTGGTTTTAAAAATTTTTAAAAAACACTTTGGTTTTAGCTTCCTCACCCACAACTGAAAAGGAAAGTGCTCCTCATGCCATAGAGCTCACAGAATCCTATACATACCAAATTACCAAATTCTCTATGCAAAGGTTATGGCATGGGAATGAGCATATGACAGGCAACCCGAAACTTTCCCTACTGTCCCATCAACCCTGGCTTTTATCTAGTTGAGGGGAACCTGGCCACTTGCCACGCCCACTCAGCGGGCTTACACTACCGGTTCTCCCAGCATGTCTTTGCAATTATATTGCAGAGAGCCTGACACCCCTTTACAAGTGTTCGTTCATCTGCCCACTCTTCCCTAACGAAGCCTTGTGAACCTCTTCTCTTCTCAGAGGCCATGGGCCATGTGTGTGATCCCTTATGCTCATCGGAGGGCTGCTGGGGCCCAGAGCCCAAAGACTGTGTGTCCTGCCGCAACGTCAGCAGGGGAAAGGAATGTGTGGAGAAATGCAACATCCTAGAGGGGTGAGAGGCCTCCTTGAGCCCTTTGTTCTGAGAGAAGGGAAGACTGGATTTGCTTTTGTACATTTTTGGTTATTTAGTTTGAATTATTTATCTTCTTGTTCTTTAGTTTTGTCTGTTGGTCACAGTTAATCATGGAAAGAAGTGAATGAACTTCTTTTATTACTCATTGATTATGGTCATTTGTAGCCCCCCTTTTCTGGAAATAGGTTCTTTAAACTGACCAAGGTTTTGTAGACACATAGGACCGTGGAGAATGGTACCTATGGCCCCGGCCAGTGTCATCTGCTCTTTTCTGTGATGCACACTGTCCTTGGCGCATCTCTAACCATTTGATTTTTATCTAAAATTGTCCTGAATTTCTAACAGTGATTAATTTTATCTGAAGTGTGAGACTGACCCTCTCCAACAGGGATTAACACCTGCAGTGTGGAACGAGGGTCTGCCTGGAGACTGATTGCGCTCTTTTCTCCTCCTCTCAGGGAGCCACGGGAGTTTGTGGAGAATTCTGAGTGTATACAGTGCCACCCAGAGTGTCTGCCCCAGACCATGAACATCACCTGCACAGGACACGTAAGGAGCGCACTGATGTCACCTGTGTGTCAGGGAAAACCACAGACAGGGCTCAGAATGACATCGTGACTTCCCAGGATGGTTGTGCAGGCCCACCCCTTGGACAAGAGGCTGACTGTCTCACAGCTGGTCAGAGGGCCTGTCACTGAGTCCAGGTCATCACCTAACATACTGGGCACAAGCATTTCCCTTTTCTTCCCAATCTCCCCAAATTTACTCCCCCACAGGGAAGCCTGGTAGAGGAACTTGATTGCCCACCCTGATGGTAACCCTCACTGTTTCTGACATGGGTTCCTAATCTGACAGCATCAAATTCTTGTTTTTAGTGAAAAAAATAGTTTTATTTGAAAGAAATGTGGAGTGATGTGAGGGAGGAGAAAGAGAATTGATATATATTAGTGTATAATTATCTGAGGTATTTTGAACAGAAGTAGAAAAGTTCTCAAAATTAAGATTCACATCTACATGTTCAACAAGTTTTTAAGCATAAGTGAAAATTCAGAGGACAGTGACAGTGACAGTCACACCAATGTTATAATGTTAATTACTACATTGTTTCCCTGAGGAGCTCTTCAGAGGTTTGAGCTTCTGTTGCTGTAGCTGAAATCATTTTCAGAAGTGCTTCTGCAGTAGACAAAATGAGATGAGGGCTTGAGGGGGAGAACGCCGATGGGTGGGATGGACTGACATTGAGTTATGTGTTCATGTTTGAACAAAACCATAAGTGAAGTTGATTCAGTTATCTGATTCTGGCTCTTAAAATTGTGGTATCAGAAGAGCACAACCAAAGGGAAAACCTTTTCTTGCCCCTTTTATGTTAGTCTTTTATGAAGTGTGTGAAGTGTGACCCCACAGTCCTGTCACTTTCCCTCTGCCCAGGTTGGGCAAGTAGAACCAAATGGAGCCTTTTGCACAACTCTGATCCCCCCACCCCACACCCCTCAGCCACCTTTGTGGGTTTCCTTGAATTTACCTCGGCGAGTATGCTTCCCACAGAATTTTCCTTAAACTTCAAATATGAATATGAAAGAAAGTTCTTTTGACTGAAAAGGAAATAAATCTGCATGGGGACTTACTGAAGTTTTTCTGACAAAGAAAGTTACCTGCAATGTAAAAATGGTAAGGACTGTTGTGCAGGGACAGAGAGCCTGGTGGAACGGGCTCAGTGCTCTACATATGGAACACCTCTATTTAGCCTCTGGCACCACATGATCTTTGGGTGTGCTCAGGGAGCAACCCCAAAGCACCAAGAAGGTAGCAGGCCCTGCACACCACCAGATGAAACTCAAAAACAAAATATGACAAAATGAGAAAAAAGGAAAAGACTACTTAAAATATAAAGTACAGTTTCTTTCCTGTTTCCCCCATGTTGTATGCATTTGAAGTCAGAAAGAGTTTATACTAAGCCAGTAAAAGTGGTCTCACCAAGCAAATACAGTCACAGATGAAACTACTTCCTACTTTAGTGCCGTCATTTCGCTTTCTCCAATAAATATTTTAAATCAAGAGTTACTTGTATGTTTAAGAATAGAGAGCTGTGTGCATGTGCGTAGCTTCATATATGCTCTTCATTGCAGGGACCAGCCCATTGTGTGAAGTGCACCAACTATATGGATGGCCCCCACTGTGTCCAGACCTGCCCTGCAGGTGTCCTGGGAGAAAACAACACCCTGGTCTGGAAGTATGCCGACGCCAACCACGTGTGCCACCCTTGCCACATCAACTGTACCATCGGGTGAGTAAGAAACAGAGAACAAAATGTTTTCCATCTGGTAATTCTACATACCAGAAATGCTCCCAAGCTTCCAGGCGGTCAGCTTCAGAAACTCATATTTTGAATGATAGGTGCCCATGACCATGCAGTAACAGTGGCATATGAACATGTAGAGCTCAGTTTTGGAGAAACTCTTCACAGTGCTTATCATTCAGGGTTGTGTTCTGTAGTACTGTCATGTCCAGACAAGAAGATATCAGAAGGTGGAATAGAGCCTTGGTCTGCCAGCATGCTAGAGTCCTGTAGGTACCTCCGCAAATGACCAAGTTTCTATGACAATCTTTGTTGCTGTTTTGCAATTTGTTAGATTACAATTAATAAGCAATTACCAGAATGAATTAAATATTCTTTAAGCTAAATGATTAGTTGTTACCATGCAGATGAAGCTGGAGGGATAGCACAGTTGCCTTGCACGTGGATGACCTGGCTGACCTGGGTTTGATTCCTCCGCCCCTCTCGGAGAGCCCGGCAAGCTACCGAGAGTATCTCGCCCACACAGCAAAGCCTGGCAAGTATTCGATATGCCAAACACAGTAACAATAGGTCTCACAATGGAGATGTTACTGGGCCTGCTCGAGCAAACTGATGAACAATGGGAGGACAGTGCCTTACATCCTTACATGCAAATGAAAACTCTGACCAATGAGCAGAAGCACTCTGAATATATGTGTTTTATTTTTAAATGATGAATTTGGTGATTAACTGGATTACTCCCAGAAATCACTGGAGTTGAGTTTTGGGACACATATCCGTGTATATGTGTATTTTTTTTATCTCTCCTGATACCTTCATGATCCTGTCTTCTTAGAAACTTTCACTTGTTTGTTCCCAGATGCTTCATGGACAAGCTCTGTGATGCAGGACAAGTGACTCAACCTCCTGTGCCTCATGTGCTCTGCTGTAGAGTAGAGCATCAAACTGCAAAGCACACAGAATATAGGGATTGTTAGTTACTATGGAAAATGTTATTGAAACAGTGTCATGGGAACCCAATTAATGATTGTGCTGGTGGTAGTGATGGTGATAAGTTAGGAACAGAACGTGAAAGTGGCCATGGAACTGGTGACTGCCATGAAGTAGAAATAGCACACAGTACTGGCGCTGTGAGAGTGTCACAGTGGTTGTAGCATGGTGTGGGAGTTGGTAGTGAGCAGTAATCCTATGTGAAAGTAGGGTGGTGCTGATGGTGACAGGGTGGCACTATCAGTACAGAGAGGCGACAGTGTCAGCTGTGATTATGATCAGATGGAAGCAACATAAGGGTCTGGTGATGAAGCTGGCCACAAACGTGGTGGTAGCACCAGTCGTATTGGTTATTATGACTGATGATGAATCAGCGATCTGAGAGGATTCATGACTTTCTTAGTCATCTTCCAGAAACTGGGTCTTGAAAGTTTACCCTGCCAGCCTATATTTACTAAAACTTTTTGAAAGACGTATATAGAGGTATCTGGGCATAAAGATGAATAATCAGGACTTACAAGTGACTGGCACCCTGGCTAGCTTCTGTCAATTCAACTTCTTCTAGTTAGTCACTGTGGGAACCAGGGAAAGTGCCCCCATGTCATCCAGAAGCTCCAGTTCCACATTCCTGACATATCAGTTCCAGCTAATGGATAAGGAAACTGGGATGTTGCCACAGTGGTTAGCAAAGAAATATAACCCATTAATCTTAGACTGATCCTTTGAACTGTCCTCCTTTACACAATTTTCACCACTAAAAGAAATAATCAAAAAAGACTAAAGCCAATAAATAAATTAGAGTGAAGTTGGCAGTGTTACAGTACTTTGCATTTAAATTCAGGATAATTTATTTCTTCATGTGTTTAATGTCTTTTGGGGGTAAAGGGTCACATCTGGCAGTGCTCAGTGCATACTCACAACTCTGTGCTCAGAGATCACTCTGGGTGGTGTTTGTGGTGCTGGAGATCAAATCTGAGTTGACTGTGTACAAGGCAAGTGACTTTACCCCTGTACTATCATTTTGGCCCAATGTCATTTTTTTTTAATTTCAGTAAAATTTTACTCTTCTTCTTCCATACCTTGCTCTGGTATTTTTTATTTTAGTGCTAATATAAAATATATTTTTCTTTCTACTGTGTACTCTAAATGTATTGTTATTGCTAATACAGAAACTATCTAATGATTTGGTGAGATATGAATATTCATCTTGCATAGATAGTCTTTACTGGGCTTCTTTTGAAATTAGTGTTTTGGTTCATGATCTTGATTTCCCAGAAAAACAGTCAGCTTCTCTCCCTAAATGTTATCATTTCCTTCACAAAAGTTGTGGTTGTTTTTTGGTTTTTTTTTTTTTTTTGCTAGTCAAATTTGAATGTGAGCATCTTCCCAAAAGTTTTAGCTCACATTACAAGTCAAAAATTCTAGGGGGCTGGAGCAATAGCACAGTGGGTAGGGCATTTGCCGTGCACACGGCTGACCCAGGTTCCATTCCCAGCATCCCATATGGTCCCCGGAGCACCGCCAGGAGTGATTCCTGAGTGCAGAGCCAGGAGTAACTCCTGTGCATTGTGCCGGGTGTGACCCAAAAAGAAAAAAAATTCTAGAAAAATAATAGAGGATTATGGCATCAGAATAGTATGTTTAATAAAAATGTTATTCGTCGATTGCCTTGAGCAGGCCCCAGTAATGTCTCCTTTGTCCTAGCCCTGAGATTTTTTAAAAAGTGCCATATTCAAGGCTCTTTCAGGGTTAGGAGAATGAGACCCATCATTGTTACTGGTATTTGGCATATTGGGTATGCCACAGGGAGTTTGCCAGACTCTGCCGTGTGGGCAGGTTACATTTGGTAGCCTGCCAGTTTGTCCAAAGTAGGAATGAGATAATAAAATGTCATTATAAGATGTTGCACGGCCATAAATGCAGCCGCGCACTTCCGGGAGCTGGGTTTTATAGTCTCTGAGTCTTGGCCGTTGATGGGATTACACAGCGTCAGAGGGCCAGTTGGTGGGTGTGACCCCTGCCTACTGGAATTTGGAGGATCTGAGTGGAGGATGCTCAGCCCTGATCTGAGTAGGCTTGGAGATCTCAGCCCCGGGACACACATGCCTTTGTTCCTCTGCTGGTACCTTCATGCGTGTGGACATTGGTGGTGGCTGGTTCTGGAGGTCTTTGGCTCCATAAAAATGTTAAATACCACTAATAATAATTTTTGCTATTGTTTGGGATATTTACTATCTTACTAGGAAAATAGTTCTTCTACTCTAATTAATCTTCTACTCAGATTTAAACTTTTTAATCTGGAATGGAATTTTGAATTTTACCAAATTTTGGGGTCTTCTTCTGGTTTGCAGCAAGTTTAGGAGTTTTGTGCTGGTTGTATTGACTAGTTTGCAGCCTAGTCTGAAGGTCATGGATGTAGCTCGGCAGCAGAGTCTAGGACTTGCTGTGTCAGGCCCCGAGTTCAGTCCCCGCACAGTAGGGGCCAGGAGAGGTGTTATAGGAAGCATCGGATAAACTATGCTTTATGCTTTTGACTCAATCTGTTTTTTTTTTCATATTCTCCTCAGAAACTAGAGCCAATTCTCCAAGATGGGATTTATGTTAGCAGTATAAAATAAATGTTATATGCATCCTCCCTTTTACTACTGTAAACAAATCTGTGCATGTTTGTGTGTCTCTAAGTGTATGTTATTGAGCTTGGAGTAGGAATGGCGTGGGGGTTCAGAAACCCTTTGCATTTTCAGTTTCCGGTTGGCCTCTGCAACAAACTTATGCCAAGAAATAGTTTTACCAAATATAGACACAGATTCTTTATCTAAGATTTAAATTTAAAATGCTAACCTGTTAAAATGCTAACATGTTCTGGTGTCTTTCCAAACCCCCCACCAAGTAATAAACCTTTATTATCAGGATTCAGTCCGTCTCTGCAGTCATGTTCCCACTCTCTGTCTCACTAAAGTAATCTTTTTCTCCTCCAATATCTGCATCTTCCTCCCTTTGTTTCAAATAAACTCTAATGTTATTTATTATCGGAGAGCCCGGCAAGCTACTGAGAGTATTCGATATGCCAAACACAGTAACAACAAAGTCTCCAATGGAGACGTTACTGGGCCCGAGCAAATCGACGATCAACGGGAGGGCCTTTACCTTTACCTTTACGTTATTTATTTGACACAGAGTTCATACTATTGTATCTTTCTCACAGCTGGGTATTTCTTTACTCCAGACTTTTTTGTTATCAGGAGAACGTATCGTTTTTCTATAACCATGTTGTCATTGCCTATTTCTCCTCCTGAAATCATCCTCCTAAGCCATAGGAATATGTTGCAAAACATAAATAGATATTAATAGTTTTAATATGGAAAATATTAATGAGCAAAGGGGAAATGAGAAACCATTTTTGACATATACTTGTGGTAAGTGTGTTATCAGTACACTCTCAAAACATGTCCGAAGCACGTTGCTTTCCACAGCTCTGTTGTGAAGGACACTTTCAAAGGCTCTGCGGTCATCCCACTCTCAGCCAGGCTGGCATTTGGAAGCCCACCTGCTGCAGAGCCGTATCCACTCCTCCTGGGAAGGGCAGGCTCTGAACTTGAATCAGAACAATTTTTAGATGGAAACACATTTTATTAGTGCTGAGAGAAAGGTTGCTTTGAATTTTTATCTTGACAAATTTAATTCAACAATGCAAAATGTTGTTTGTCTTGATTCTACCAAACAGAAAAGAATAAATTGGATGGAGAACAAATAAATTGGGTGGAGAACATTTTTTATGACAACACTCAATGATACCATGTGATTAGTTCTCTTGTGCTTGGTGTCAAACAGTCTCTTCTTAATCAATACATATGGTATTAGAAGCTTTCACAAGAACTTCTTGACCTTTCGGTTCTCAAATCAGCCTTGTTAGCTGTTTCTTCAAATGTGAGGCCACCAGATCCCTCTTCTAATCTTATCTGTCAGTGACTTCTTACCAGCAACCCGTGTCAGTTCCCATCACTTTTAGAGGATGCATGAAATTTTGCATCTGGTATAAATGTCATTTTCAAATGTTTCCATCATTTCTCATGCGTGATGCTCCAGGGATTGCCAGACATCTAGAAAATATGCCCAGTAAAGATACTCTTTTCAGTAGAGTCTGATCACCTCAAAAGTCATTTCAATCACAGTCACAACCATCCTGTTATTCGTCGATTGCTTCGAGCAGGCCCCAATAACATCTCTTTGTCCTAGCCATGAGATTTTTTTTAAAAGTGCCATATTCAAGGCTTTTCAGAGTTAGGAGAATGAGACCCTTCATTGTTACTGGTATTTGGCATATTGGGTACGCCATGGGGAGTTTGCTAGACTCTGCCATGTGGGCAGGTTACATTCAGTAGCCTGCCAGTTTGTCCAAAGTAGGAATGAGATGATAAGGTGTCGCGCGGCCGCAAATGCGGCCGCAAATGCGACTGCACGCTTCCGGGAGCTGGGTTTTATAGTCTCTTAGTCTTGGCCGTTGATGGGATTACACGGCACCAGGGGGCCAGTTGGTGGGTGTGACCCCCACATACTGGAATTTGGAGGATCTGTGTGGAGGATGCTCAGCCCCAATCCGAGTAGGCTTGGAGATCTCGGCCCCAGAACCCACGTGGCTTTGTCCCTCTGCTGGTACCTTCATGTGTGCGGAGAGTGGTCTCAGCATGGTGGTGGCTGGTCCTGGAGGTCTTCGGCTGCCGGAGCCCTGGTCGGGGAGGGGAGGAAAACTCAACCCGCTCCTCTCCAAGGGGCCCCGGCGAGGACAGCCAGGTGCAGGGGCAGGAGACTCTGCACTGTTCTCTTCCGGGAGCTGGATTTTATAGTCTCTGGTACCAGATGTCCTGGGCAGACAACGGTCTCTGCTCCCAGGAGACTGTAGTTTAAAAAAAAAAATAAAGAGTAGTCTGGGCTCTGAGCCCCAGGCTCAGGAGTAGTCCTCTCTTTTGAATTCTTACAGCTGTGAAGGGCCAGGCCTTGAAAACTGCATCGGCAGGTGAGTGGAGCTTTGAGCCCAAGAATGGAAGCACAAGGGACAAGTTAATGCTTCTCTGCATTTCCGTTTGCTCCTCCCCCCAACCCCCGCCAGTGTGGTAGCCCCTGGTGTGTGCGCTGCCCAGCCCCTCTATGTGTACCTCCTGGTCTGACAGGCCTGTGAGGGTCGGAGCTACTCCTGGGCCTGAGGCTCAGAGCCCAGACTCCTCCTTTTTTTAAAAAAAAGCAGAGAGCAGACAATGGTCTCTGCTCCCAGGAGACTGTAGCCCTGCATGGTGGCAGAAAGAGCTGCTCCTCTGGCATTCAGTCTGTGCCCTCAGGACCTTCCCAGCTTTGGAGACCCCTGTCCCTCCTTGTCCATTCCTGTCTGATTCCCTAATCAGGATGGCCTAGAAGTGGGTCTCAGCTCCCCTCCTCTGCTCTCCCGCCTTGTATTGCCATAGCTGTGACAGCTGTGTCAGGATAAAACATGGAAGCTTTTGGACAGTGAAGACCAGAAGCTGTCCACTGTGTTTAGGGCTAAAGTAATCCCTGTCAAGAACACTCAAAAATAATGTACTTGATGAATGACAAATGAATAATTACATAATAAATAGCCAACCACATCCCAACACTGAGGTACGTGGTGATTTTATTGTTTTGAGAGTAATACAATACACATTGCCTTGTTACTTTTGAAAAAATTTTCAAAAACATGTTGGAGCTGACTGATCAAAATATGTCTCTCTTTTGAATTCTTACAGCTGCGACGGGCCAGGCCTTGAAAACTGCATCGGCAGGTGAGTGGAGCTTTGAGCCCAAGAATGGAAGCACAAGGGACAAGTTAATGCTTCTCTGCATTTCCGTTTGCTCCTCCCCCCACCCCCGCCAGTGTGGTAGCCCCTGGTGTGTGCGCTGTCCAGTCCCTCTATGTGTACCTCCTGGTCTGACAGGCCTGTGAGGGTCGGGGCTACTCCTGGGCCTGGGGCTCAGAGCCCAGACTCCTCTTTATGTAATCCACCTGAGTCCTTCCTTGGTAGACCTCTGGCACTGTTCCTACTAACCCACTTGGCACCTCCAAACCTGCATTTAAATGAACTTTCTCCTTAAGGGCTCCAGTGGGCACCAGTAATGTCTCCATTGTGAGACTTGTTACTGTTTTTGGCATATTGAATATGCCATGGGGAGCTTGCCAGGCTCTGCCGTGTGAGTGAGATACTCTCAGTAGCTTGCCGGGCTCCACGAGAGGGGTGGAGGAATCGAACCTAAGTCAGCCATGTGCAGGGCAAATGCCCTACCCTCAGTGCTATCTCTTCCATGGGGCTGGAGCTATAGCACAGTGGGTAGGGCGCTTGCCTTGAATGTAGCTGGCCCAGGCTGACTCCGTTTCCTCAGAGAGCCCGGCAGCTACCGAGAGTATAGTGCCCAAACGGCAAAGCCTGGCAAGCTAACCATGACATATTCGATATGCCAAAAACAGTAACAAGTCTCACAATGGAGACATGACTGATGCCCGCTCGAGCAAATCGATGAACAATGAGAGGACAGTGCTACAGTGCTCCTTAAGGGCAAAGCTCCAACTTGAAAGACAATCTCCCTTGCTTCCCTTTCTAAGTCACATGATTCCTTCCTTCTGATTGATGTGCTGTCAGGTGATGCTATGCTGAGCAAAGGAGAATTGAGTTTTTCTGTTCAGATTCATCAGCAAAGAGTGATAATTTCAGCTCACAGCATCCAGTGATGCACTAGACTCACTCATCAGACACCTATACTGGATCCCCAGATCCCCAATGGTCACCACATTCTCAGACACTACTTCCATTTCTAGTAAACTCTGCAAAGGCTCTCTCTTCTCCCTCTCCTCAACTCACCCTCCTGCCTTAAAGGAACTATGTTAATGTTTTCCTCCTACTTCCTGTGAGGCATTATAGGAAGTAGGAGAAAACAATAACAGAGAAGAGAAGGCAATTTCTCTGAGATAACAGTCCTTTTCTCCTCATCTCTGCCTGAGACTGCAAGGACACCAACAAAATGACTCTTATTTTCACACTGCAGTCACCTTATTAGAAATGAGGTTGTCAAGTCCACACCCATATATCCAGTACAGTTCCCATAGAACACGCACTCCTGTTACTTATTTCTTCTGATGTTCCTTTCAAGATAGTAAAACCCATGTTAATTCAGTCTGTGTTAGTAAAGGAAAAGAAATAATGCCGGAGATGATTTTTGGCTCCTTAAGAAGTGTTGTAGATACCACTGTTAGGAAGCCCACTTGACCCTCCTAAGAAACATGTAAGACCAATATTCTGTGTTTTATGTGCAAATGGTCCTAGTTAATCTCTGATACTGATTAAAATTTCTCCCTGAAAACGTGAACTTTGCAGAAGCTCAGATGAAATAGATGCTTGTGAATAGCATCTTGGTGGATGTGTGTCTTTGTGTGTATTGCTCACATTTATTTTTACGTTACATAGCATATGCTTCACATTCCTACCTTAAATTTATTTTTTTAATTTTAACTAGAGAATTTTTTTCCAGTTTGGTGGGTCAAAGCCAGTGCTTGGGGTCTATCTCCAGTTCAGTTCTAGGTACCCGGGAATGAATCTTTGGTGTCTGCATGCAAAACATGCACTGCATTCTGCCGAGCTCTCTCCTCGCACTCATTTCTCCTTTTCATAAAAGCAGAATTTCCTCTTCACTGTGGAGCCTTAACACAATTTAAGTGTTAGCTTCGAGTCAGATTAATTTCGATTGAATATCTTCTTGACAAAGAGCCCAGTGTCATACTTTTTAATGAACAAAATCAGATTCACAATCCACCAATTCTGACCATTCTTTCCCCAAGGGGCTTCAACACCTTGCATTTCAGTCTTCCTGAAATCCAATGCATTTCTGCAGGTGATGAAGCTTTGGCATAGTTTGGGAGAGGCTGGGTGATTCACTCATCTCTGACAACCATGCTCTTAATGTCAATAGACTTTCATAAGACATGTTATACATAGTACTCCATTGTGTAAATGTACCAAAGTTTCTTTAACCAGTCATCTGTTCTCAGGCACTCAGGTTTTTTCCAGATTCTGGCTATTGTGAAGAGTGCTGCAATGAATAAACAAGTGGGTGGGAGGGATACTGGGATCAGTGGTCGTGGGAAATGGGCACTGGTGGAGGGATGGGTATTTGATCATCGTATAATTGAAACCCAAGCACAAAAATTTGTAAGTCTACAACTGTACCTCATGGTGTCTCACTAATAAAAATTTAAAAAAAAACCCATGTTATACAGTCATGGGCCTATCTTCAAAGTCAAGGACACCCCTTCCTTCTTCCACTCCCACAAGGAGGATTTTCACTGCTATTGAGGGTCCTCCACCATAGGTGTAGCCCAGGGTTAGCGAAGCATGAGGCCATGAGCTTAATCTTTGTACTGCTTCATGCACCAAGGGGGCTCCTTGCAGCCCCAGCATCTGAGATCCCAGCCAGGGAGAAGAGAGCATTAGTGAAATCCAAGTCATTTGTTGGAGTATGTGTTTCAATAAGCACACTCTTAAATAAACATTAAAATTAATAATCATACTGTGGTCTAGATGATGCCTCAGTTTTATATATTTGTTGATACAATTATAACAGTGTTTAAGTTAACACTATTGATGTACAAAGCTTCTGTGACCACCACCAAAGTGCCCATTATAAAAAACTATGTACACTGAAGGGTGTGTGTTCACGGGCTTTCCGGGCAGCTCTGTCTCTCTGTCCACATTCGGTGCTCTAGAGCCGCTGTGTGTGGACTGGATCAGGATGGCTGTTGGCCAAGGGCAGGCGAAGGAAAGGACAAGAGCCAGGCTTGTTGGTCTCAATAGCTGTTTATTCCAATATCATCCCCATTCACTCCTGTCTCTCTTTCTTCTTCTCTCCCGCCCCTCCCCCCCCCCCATCTGGAACCCCCAGCCTACTCACAGCCTCATTAAATTCTCAAAGCATGAGGGGTTGGGCTTACACATAGGTGTGGTCACAATCAGTAGGGTTAAAGTTCTTTCCTTCAGGGGATGCTGCTTCTGGGACAGATTCCCTTTCAGCAGGATGACCCACCCAAGGGAGGAATCCAATGGGTGTGTTTCTCCTCTCCTTGTCCAACAAACATATAAGCATTCATAATATTAATCATTTTGTATGGACACAGTAAGAGATGCATTAAGCTTATAGAATTGCTCTCCTGGGGTCATCTCGATCTCAGACTACAGTGCTTAGGCCATTAGTCATTCCTATCCTAGTCCTAGTCCCATCATTACTTTTGGATCATGACAGCATTTGTCTATGATTAAGCTCTTAACTTATAGTTAAGAATCATGGCGCTTTGGCCTGGCCCATTTTGATGCCAGGGTAGTTCAGAGCTTGCCCTGTGTCCCTTCAGTCCCTCGTCGGGACCCTGCTTTTGGGGTGCTAGGAACTGAGGGCAACTGAAGCTTAAATTGTAAAAGCAGATGCCCGGGAATGAATAATGCTTGAAGCCAATTAAATCCCAAGTTACAAAAGCACAATATTAATTGTCTTCTTGTGTCTATACAAAAGGACATTGCATTAAAGTAAACTATTCAAAAGACATAAGGAGAGGAGAAAGGCAATATTAACTTACAAGTTCAGTGTTTTAGAAAGATCTGACCTTACAAATTAATAGAAACTAATTAGGAGATAAGCTGATTAACTGGTTGGGGAAGAGAGCATAAAGAAGTGGCTACAGATAAACAAAAGAATGGGAGTGACTCGGGAGCACTTTGATGGGTGTGACCCAGTAAACCTAAGTTCCTTGTGGAAAGGGAGAAAAGACGAAGCAGTGTCATCCTACACCCATGATCCTTCATTCCTGTCCTTATGTCCCATTGGTCCAACCTTCATCCCTTTGCCCTCACTGTATGGTTGTTTTTTTTTTTTTTTAATTTAGAGGGCCACATCTGGCAGTGCTCAAGGGTTCTCCTGGCTCTGCACTCGGGAGTTAGTCTTGATGGTACTTGGGGGACCATATACGGTGCTGACCTTATGCTGGGTCAGCCGTGCATAAGGCAGGAACTCTACCCACTGCACTATCCCTCCAGCTCTGTTTATAAATTTTGTCATCCAAGACCAAGGAACTGGATTGAATTACAAAATACTGTCAATTCACTTGTTTTGTCTCTCTGTTATTCTATAGATGAGTGAACTCATCCAGTATTTGTTCTTCTCCCTCTGACTTATTTTAATTAACATGCTGCAGTTTTCAAAATAGAGAAAAAGACATGAAGGAAAGAGGTGGCTTATACTTGGGAAAATTGGAAATCACCTAAAATTTTGGGTTCAGAGTGCTCTGCTTTAGGAAACGATTTTAAATGTGTCTGTGGATCAGTCAGGAACTTCTGAAGTGCCCATGTAATGAAACCTCACCACAAACCTCACTCTGTGCCTCTTGCTCAGGACCAAGATCTCGTTCATCGCCATTGGGATAGTGGGAGGGCTCCTGCTGCTCCTGGTGGTTGCCCTTGCAGTTGGCCTGTTTCTCCGCAGACGTCACATTGTCCGGAAGCGCACACTGCGGAGACTGCTCCAAGAAAGAGAGGTGAGTACCCTGGCCCCGAGTCCCAGGACCCCCCACTGCCCAGAACAGGAGTAGGACTGGCCTTGGAGACTTGTCTTTGAACTCATCTGTTTGAAACGTGCCATTGGGTCACTGAGTTGTAGCCATTGTGATGGGAAAGACCTCCGCTTGTTTGATTGTCGGGGCAGTTCTGTCTCAGTCTCCTGTTCCCTGACACAGTGTTTCCAGGTGTGTCACATGTACGTATGCACAGTAAGGTGTGCTTTCTGTGGACATGCATGGAAGACCAGCCAGGGCGGTGAGTGGACCAGGAATGCCTGTGAGAATATTATTTAGAAAATGCCTCTGTCCACACTATGACTATGATTATTTTGGGTTTGATTTTGGTTTGGTTTTGTGTTGGGGCCACACCCACTGGTGTTTAGGGCTTATTCCTGGCTCTGCACTCTGGGATCATTCATTCCTGGGTGGGAGGGGGGGTTAAGGGACCATGTGGGATGCCAAAGATTGAGCCTGTACAAGGCAAGCTCCCTAGCCACTGGACTGTCTCTCAGGCCCCAACACCATGACTACAGCCTGAGCTGTTTCACTAATACCTGCACGTCCTGCTGGGACCTCAGCTGTGCGCAGCCCTGGGTCAGTGTCCCAGGAAAGCTCATGACATAGTACTTATATGCTGTAGGTGCTAAAGGCTGTTTAAATTATACCATAATAAAAATGTTCCTATTGATTTCTCCTTAATCCAGCTGTTTTTTTCCTGGAAAGAGAAGCAAAATTAATTAGTTGAAATGTGACTGTTTTGTGGGAGCACATTTGTGTTTCCTTTCTCATTCTTTGGTGAAAGTTTCTTTCTCCTTTTGAATGGGCATGGCAGTTGTATGCACCCCTGGGTTTATCTGAACATGTTACATGCACCCGCATGCCTGAGGTAATCTCCAGTCTTTCCCTTATCACTCCCCCAATAGCCCCAAGCTTAAATGAGGAACCCCATTCATTTCCTCCTTGTCTTTCAGCTGGTTGAGCCCCTGACACCCAGTGGAGAAGCCCCCAATCAAGCTCTCTTGAGGATCTTAAAGGAAACTGAGTTCAAAAAGCTCAAAATTCTGGGCTCTGGAGCGTTTGGCACAGTGTACAAGGTGAGACCTCAGCTCTGTGCGTGACGAAGGGTTCGGGAAATTCTCACATTTCCCAAAACTGTCAAGAAGAAATCTTGTATGATCGTATGACAACTCCATGTTCCTGTGAGGTACACACATGTGCATTTCTGTGGATGGCCATGTCTGCCTGCAGAAGGTGACTGAAGGCGGAGCCTGCCACTCGGTGATGGCTTCCAGATAAAGCTACATTCACAGAGCCTCCTTTTCTCCATCCTCTGTGGGCCATTTGAGCAAATCTGGTCACAGTTAGGCCCCAGCTCATCTTCTGGGGACTTGACAGAATGGCCCACACTAACTGCAAGCCCTGTGGTGGGAGTTGGAGCATTTTACCTGATTTCTATGACTCACAGGCAAGCTAGCTAAGGAGCAGCTGAGATAAGGCCTAACCCCTCGATGGTGGAAGGCAGAGCATTCCCCTGGGTTCCTTGTCCACAGCCCACAGCCTGTGGGTGATATCACCTATAGAGTACAGCTCAGAAGAGGCAGGGGCAGGTGGTCCCTTTAATGTGTGCCCTGTGTCTCTCCTAGGGACTCTGGATCCCAGAAGGTGAGAAGGTGAAAATCCCTGTGGCCATCAAGGAATTAAGAGAAGCCACGTCTCCCAAAGCCAACAAGGAGATTCTGGATGTGAGTTCACTTTTCTCTCTGGTCATCACAGGCCTACATATCACAGACCTTTTCCTGGTGGCTGCTGGCACATTACTGTTTTAGACCTTTTCATCACATTTTAAATGTTCACTTTCCATCTAGCTATAACTTAGTTTCCTCACAGACTTTCTCTTACCCTTACAATGACTTCTGTAGTGGGAGACTTAGGTACAGAAGCTACACACACTGGGCAGTGAATGACAAGCCTCTGATGTCAGTATTGTGTACCACATTCTTTGGACAAAGAGAAAACAAGATAAAGAAATTTGCTCACTTCGCCATGATTTACAGTACTGTTCCTGTGGATGCAGCATCTGTGGATGCAGCATCCCAACACTGTGCTTGGGAAATGTCGAGTTCTTCCATCACCACTCTCCAAAGCTCGCCCCCATGCAGAGCTCGGCTCTGTAGATCACTTCTCAAGCTCTTCTGCTTTGGGCATTTGTCTACTCACTGTGTGTCTTTATGCCCCGTATGTGAGAGAGATCGTTTTATTTCTGTTTTTCTCCTCTGGCTAACTTCACTCAGTATGATGCTCCAGATCCAACCAAGTGGCAGTCAATTGTATAAATTTGTCTTTTTTGTTTGTTTTGGGTGACATTCACAGTGCTCAATTTATTCCTGGCTCTGCAATTAGGGGTCACTCCTAACGAAGAACCATAAAGTGCTGGGGATCAAACTCAGGCCAGTTGTATGTAAGGATTGCTTGGCTTTTCAAGGGGAGGTTTATTTCTTCATATAATTCTCAACAGTATTTGATCTAAAAGTCATGAGTCTTTATATATGAACTGTATTGAACCTATATATTGCTTCTGGTGAAATTGCCATTTTGACAATATCGATACTTTCAATCCACAAACATAAGATGTGTTTCTGTTTTCTTGTGTTTTTATTTTTTTTTTCTTCATATAAGTCATTCATCTCTTTTGTTAAACTGAGTCCCAGGCACTTAATTTTTTGAGACACAATTATAAATGACATTTTAATTTCTCTCCTGTTTTATTGTTTGCATGTAGGCATGCCATGAATTTCTGTATATTGATTTTGTAGCCTACCACTTTACCTATGAGTGTAGTATTTCCAGGAGCTATCTCTGTGACCTTTTTATTAGGGTTTTCTTAGTATAATATCATGAAATCTGCAAATAGTGATAGTTTAACTTCTTCTTTTCCAATCTGAATGCCCTTAATATCTCTTTCTTGCCTATTTGCTATATATGTGTCAAGGACTTCTTATACTATGTTGAATAATAGAGAGAGTGGAAACCTTGTCTTGTCCCTGATCTCAGTGGAAAGGCTTTCAGAGTTTTCACCATGATCAAATATGACAGTGCTGATGGGTTAAAAAGGAAATATTTTTCTATCTCCATTTTATTGAGTATGGCTATTGGATCCAGTAATATGCTTTCTCTATTTCTATAGACATGTATGGTTTTTTTCTTCTCTATATATTGGTATCACGTATTACATTGATTGCCTTCCATGTATTAAGCTATCCTTGCTTCTGGGATAAGTACTACGTGATCATGATTTATGATCTTTTTCATGTACCATTGTGTTTAGTGCATGCATATCTTATTGAGGCTCTGTGTGTCTATATATTAATCAGGGATCTAGGTTGGTAGTTTTGTCTTCTGAGGCATGTTTGCCTTATAGAAACTGGGAGGCTTTCAACTTTCTGGAAGATCCTGAAAAAGCTTAGAAGTATGTATCCTTTAAAGGTTAGGAAAAACTTGCTAGTGTATACAAGGCATCTGGGTACTGTCTTCTATTTGTGGGGAGACTTGGTTACCATTTCAATTTCTATAGTAATCATTCATTCAGGTTTTCTGTTTCCTCCTTGATTCACCTTGGAAGGCAATAAGAGTCCAAAATTTGATTCATTTACTCTAGATTCTGTAGTCTCATATTGTAAAGAATTTCACAGCAATCCGTGATGAGTGTTGGCATTAGCACAGCGGTAGGGCGTTTGCCTTGCACGCAGCCAACGTGGCCGACCCGAGTTCGATTCCTCCGCCCATCTCGGAGAGCCCGGCAAGCTACCGAGAGTATCTCGCCCCCACGGCAGAGCCTGGCAAGCTCCCCGTGACACATTCGATATGCCAAACACAGTAACAACAAAGTCTCCAATGGAGACATTACTGGGCCCGCTCGAGCAAATCGATGATCAACGGGAGGGCCTTTACCTTTTACCTTTACCTTTACCATTTTGATGTCTCCCTTTTCCCATATGATTTGTTTATTAGAATTTTCTCTCTTTCTTTGTGAGTCTTCCTAGTGGCTTGTCAATATTGTTTATTCTTTTAAAAATGGTTCTTAGTTTCATTGATTTTTTAAAAACTTTTTAGCTTTTATTTCATTGTTGTCTGCTCTAAGTTTTATTAATTTGTCTTTTCTAATTATTTTGGGCCCCCTTTGTCATTTTTTTCCTAGCTGCTTAATCTCTGCTGTTAGGTTATTCTTTGGTCATTTTTCTTACTTCCCAGTGAATAATTACATTGCTATGTACTTCTCCCTTAACACCCTTTTGTCGTGTCACATGTTTTGGAATCCTGGGTCTCCATTCTTATTTGTTTCCAGGAGTCTTTTGATTTCCTCTTTGACTTACCTTTTGGGTAGTAGTGAGTTGTTTGACTTCAAGTGCTGAGCCTTTTTACCATTCTATTTTCTATTTAATAACTTCTATTTTTCAAAACCTAGTGGCCAGAGAGGACGTGTGATAGGACTTCTGTTTTCTTGATTTCTTGCAGATATGTTTTGTGACCCAGTATGTGGAATGTCTTTGGGAAAAGTGCCATGTTCTGAAGAATACATACTAAACTTTTGGGGATGAAGGGATACATATCTATCTATTTTTCTATCTGCCTCTATATACATATATACACATATATAGATACATAGATGCATATGTATGTCTCCTAAGCCCATAGAAAGAAAGCCCTTTTCTTTCTTCAAAGTCAGTGTTTTTTATTGTGTTTGTGCCTAGATTATTTAGTTGACAATGATAGGGGAGTGTTAAAGTTCCCTCCTACCACTATGTTGCTGTCATGTCTTCCTTCATGTCTATTCACTTAATCACTTAATCACTTAATCCCCGTTATTCATCGATTTATTCGAGCAGGTGCCAGTAACGTCTCCATTCATCCCGGTTGCGTGCTAGCGTAGCCCAATGATATCTGTTCGTTCTAGGAACATGCAGAGCCTCAAACCGATCATTTAGGGTCTTGACGAAGAAGTCTGACCATTATAGGTGGGCGTCCACGTGATCTTTTGATGTCCCGTGGAATCCAATCAGTAATGGCTCTAGTCCAGCGGTTGTCTGTAAACCTCATTACGTGTCCAGCCCATCTGATTTTTGATGTCTTGGCAAATGAGACAGCGTCCCTGATTCTTGAGCATTGACGAAGATCAGAACTCCAGATTCTATCTCTCATTTGAGTGAATCGTGATATTCCAAGCATAGTTCTTTCGATTCCTCTTTGAGAGACCCAAATAGCGTTCTCATCCTGTTTTCGTAGGGTCCAGGTCTCTGAGGCATATGTTAATGCAGGAAGAATAGTGGAATCAAAGAGATGTGCTCATAGCTGGAGGTTCTTTGTCCTTTTAGTTATTTCTTCAATGCTCTTGAAGGCATTCCAAGCCGCTCTTTTCCTCCTGCGCAACTCAGGTGCCAGGTCATTCATCATGTTGATTTCTCGACCTAGGTATATATAACTGTTGCATTTGGAGATGGTGGTTCCGTTGAGAGCGAATGAAGAGTCATGAACAAGGCTGTTTCTCATAAACATTGTCTTCGTAAGATTTAGCTGTAGTCCGACCTTTCCACATTCACGGTCAAAGTCGTTCAGCATTTGTGCTGCTTGGCTGATGTTTGGTGTTATTAGAACAATGTCATCAGCAAAGTGGAGGTGGTGTAGTTGCCGACCATCTATCTTCACTCCCATGTTTTCCCATTCCAGTCATCGCATGATGTTCTCGAGGGTGGCACTGAAGAGTTTTGGTGAAATGGTATCACCCTGCCGAACCCCTCTCTTGATATGGATGATTACTTCTTTGTAGAATGGTGAGATTTTGGTAGTGAATCCGCAATAGAGCTCACGAAGGATCCTGATGTATTGAGTTTGTACGCCCTGATTGGCTAGGGCTTCCATGACCGCTTCCGTCTCAACAGAATCAAAGGCCTTTTTTAAATCAATGAACGTTAGACAGAGCGGCATCTTGAACTCCCGAGATACCTCAATGAGCTTGGTTATTGTGTGGATATGGTCGATGGTACTGAATCCTTTTCGGAATCCAGCTTGTTCACATGGTTGTCCTTCATCTAGTGTTCTGCTAATCCTATTCAGGATGACTCGAGTGAATAGTTTGTAGATGACAGACAATAGGCAGATTGGGCGATAGTTGCCAATGTCGTGGATGTCTCCTTTCTTGTATAGTAGTACAGTCCTGCTGGTTTTCCATTGGGATGGAACCTTGCATTCAGACAGGTAGCGTGTGAAGAGTCGAGCCAATGTATTGATGAGTACTGATGGTAAGTTCTTCAGGTGTTCAGGTCTGATCTTGTCTGGGCCAGGTGCTCTTTGTTTCTTTACTGACGAGATGGCATGTTGGATTTTGGAAGAGAGAACATTGGGAACGACATATCCATCATGTGGTATGTGGTATGTGGGCAAGTGGATGTGGCTATTAAAGAGATCTGAGTAGAAGTCATGAATAATCTTCTCCATTGCCCTTCTGGAAGATGTGATAGATCCATCATGATGTTGGAGGGCAGTCATCTTGGTTTTGTAGTTGGTGAAGGACAGGCGGGCATTACGAATGTTTTTCCCAGCTTCTGCTGCATCTACCAGTACTGCTGCTCTCCTGTTTTTGAGGTCATCCTTGATGGCTTCTCTGCATTGTTTTGCCAGTTCGAATGTTCGCTTGTGGTTGCCTGAGGCATGTGCCAAGCCACGTTGGCGAATAAGTTCAAGAGTGTTC